TAAGCAGCAGGACGGAAACCAGAAACGGTGGCTCCCCTTTTTGTGAGAAAGAAAATGCCCTAAACATGAGAGATTATGGATTTAAGCATCTTCAATTGCAACTCAAGACACATCACCTTCTCCTTATGTAATTGTACAAACTAGATCTAAGATTTTCCTTTGCCATCCTACTTTTCAGTACCATACTCATATTCTGTCTAATAAAGTTGGTGGAGAAATATTCAAAAAACAGAATAGAATATGCGGAGATATTTTAGTTAGATTTTTAAACATAAGGAAGACTTCTATGAATAGTATCACAGATGCTTGCTTTATTTCTCAAAGGTCCTCACGTTTCTTTATCCAGTGTTCTGGATTTCTGCTTTGCCATTGGTATTTTCTTTAAAAGTATAGTCTCAATTTCTTTTTTCATGTGACATATAAATTCATTCATTTTATTATTTGAAATTTGTAAGCATTTTTAAAGTGTTGTATACTGATGCAGAACAGGAAGAAAAGTTGAAATGTGGCAGATAATGAATTACAGACAATATTTCATAATCAGATGTCTTTTAACAAACATTTCTAGTATTAAGAATAAAATGATGTTTCCTAATACAATTTTCTTCAAGATGTCTGTGTCCCTAAGCCCACACACTGATCTGGTGCAAACCTGCTGGAGGATTCCTTGCCTCTTTGGGGGTGGAGAAAGGAATGATTGTGTATTCTTGAGGAAAACGGTCTCGGCATTTGGGACAGGAAGAATCTTCACTACAGAAAATAATTCTAAATAGAATGGACAACAATCAGATTTAAAAATAAAATAAATTTAAAAAAGACTTTCATCTGATTTGAACTCAGCCCATTTGCTTTTGAGCTGCTCTGCTTTTCCAGGAAGCTCCCCCTGTTTGGACCTCTGTTCCATCCTCTACATGCCGTCGTGTTCTCCACACGAGAGAGCCTTTGGATTTATCAAACCAAATTAGGGAACTAATTCAGTTTAGACAATAAAAGACATGACATCGCCTGAAAACCCCGACGTTCTGCTTTCGGGTACGTGCTTCGATCCACGGACTGCCCTGGCTTACGCAGGCTACCTACAGTGCAAAACAGCTGTTCTTCATTACCCTAAAACTAACCTATTTCCCAGCTCCTTTTCTCACCTCTCCATTTCTTTTTCTCATCTTCCTCGGTACTAATGGGTAATAGAGAAACAAGCCCCAGGGTTTCAGGGTTGGGCTCTGAGGAGGATGTGGTTTCTTTTTGCCGTCCCGCAGCGACCACTCATTTTGCAATGATGCTTCTGGGGAAAACAGCAGCTTCCGCCTGCAGCACAGCCGCTGCCCTGGGGAATTTCTGCTGGGTAAAGTCACTGCCAAGACAGTGATTGGGACGGCTGAAATGATGCCGTTTACTCAGAAAAGTAGCCGGTCGCCTCTCCTGACTCCAAATCCAACCCTCATCTTCACAATGGAAAATTCCGGTGTGTAGGAAGAGGCAGGATCAAGTCGTCATGCTTATTAGGGCAACTAGGAAGCTGAAATATTCTGTGCCATTTGTGACCTAAGGAGAAAAAGTACCTCAAAGAGAGATGTGCAGTCATAAAGTTTTCTTTTAAAGCATTCCCTTAAAACACCCACACCTCCTACCTTTTCCTTCACAAACCGCCGGGAAAGAATGGACAAGGCAGTAGCAGGCAGGAACCTCTTCTTCCTGATGGGTTTGCAAACACACTATAAGGAGAAATTAAAAATAAAGGCAACTAAGTGAATCTTGATTCAAATAACACTTGTTATTCTAATGACTCCAAAAAAACATAGTAGGAATGGCTCAACAGAAATGGATACTCCAGCCCCTGATATCTGAGTAAATCTCTACAGTCCACTGCATAATTATCTCCTAACATTTCCTAACATTTTTACTACCATATAATTCCTAACATTTCATCACTCCTAACATTTAGCATTTAGATACTGCCATTATATCCGTTATTAAGCATGTATACACAAGGGAAAAGGTGGCCCTCAAGCTTCAATGCAATCCATCAGAGAAAAGGCATTTAATACTTGTCAAAGTAATATTTTAATTATCAAAGACACTAAAGTTTTAGAAAATCTGGCTACAAATTTTGTAGGGAGAGTTATAACTAATCTTACAACTTTGTGCATCAACTATTCCTCATAGCCTTAAGTGTTAGCACATTATCAGAATTATTTATAATGTCTCTGGATTTGCAAGAGGAAAAGAAAGAAGGTTACAGTGTGGTAATATTGAATACTACACATTCAATAATTGTCTTACTGAAGTTATGGTGAATTTTTTGAAGCTTTTTTTTACCCTTTTTTTTCCCTCTTTAACTCGATAATAAGAGGAGGGAGAAAATATTAAAATATTGCTATAGGTAACTGGAAAGCATTCATGGGAAGTTGCACTGGAAACATTTTCACTCCAAGCCTTTCCCACTTGCTTTAGGGATAGGGCTCATTTATTCTTTCTTTCTGTTTACAAATCCAAGCCAATTTCCACTCTGAGAAGAATTTATTTTTAAAAGGAGCCACTCTTATAATAATGAAATAATAATAAAAATAAAGTAGATTTATGAAAAATCCTGCCAAATAAAATGCTAGAAATAAGCTCAAAACAGACACTTCATTTCTTGCAGCAGAAAAGGACTGTCAGACAAACTCTGGTGGGGTTCCCACCTGTGCTGGGTCAAAGCTTGTCAAATTCTGTGTGCTTCTGGAAAAGCTAGATCCCAGGAGCTGGCATATCCCGTTTTGATAGAAAATCCCCTGGTAACACAATGATGCTCCGATGTCCTCGAGCACCAGCCAGACCTGGGGGTGTTGGAGCAAATGGAAGACACAAGGTAATACACCCTCCTTCATCAGAGCTACAAATATAAAATAGCCAAAAGTTCTGAGCACCAGAGGCTAAAATAAAGACTTTTTCTCAAGACACACTCCACCCTGAATTTTGACTTATTGCATCTGCATACAGATTAAATTCATGAAATTTATATAACATCTTCAAACTTCTACTTGACATTTATTCTTCATATGATCAAGTAAATTTATGTATACATATACATAAAATAAGCTTTAAGCATGAAGTATAACATCTGCTTTTCGATATACTGAAAGCCAAAGGAGGAACAAGCTATGTAAAGTGAAATTGTCATATATCTTGACACAGGTTACAGATCTCATCTAGTTAAAGAAAAAGATCCTTTTTGTAATAAGAAAATGAATTTGAGAAATGAATATGAGATGACCATGCATATCCTTCATCATTCAGTAAATACATCATGATAAAAAAAATGGTTAATTTGGTCCTATTCTAGTTAGGAGGTAGAATTATTTCATGCTGCCATTTTTGTTTTGAGATAAGATTTCTAATACTAGGTAAGTATTTCAAATGAAGTAAGTATTTTGAAGGACTAACAGATGGCACTGAAATTGTCACTAAAAGCTTTACTTTGAATATCATTGCAAAGGTCACTTTCTAGAATAGTTTCTTTCCCATTTTTCCCAATTTTCCAGCTTCGATAATATTAGGCCATGGAAATTAGATCAAAGGCATTCTTAGACATATTTATTCTCAGAACACGGAGTTTTGGATGCTCTCATCTTCCGTGAGAAGAAGTAGATCATTCAGTCTAGTATAGTCTAGCTGCCTCACTTCTCTTTTTCGCTGCCTATGGTTTCTAGCTGCCGTGGTATCATGCCTGTTCTGAAAGAGGCATTGCCCCGTATTCTTTTCTGCCTTGCATGTGTTTAGTTATTTGTGTATAAAATGAGCAGAGCTGGATTTGTCTCCCAGTTGAGATCTGTTTGCATTTAGCTTTGCATGCAGGTTATATTTAGCTCTGTCAATAGCTTCCCCGCCATGCGTAGCAGCGCTACCAAGGCTGACAGAGGCAGGTAATCAATGGCAAACAAACAAGTAAAGCACCTCTGGGGAAACCATTTTTTTTGTAATGCGATGCTTCTAACCTACGGGCTCATAAACCACAGAGAAAAACAAAACAAAACGACTTCTCGGATAAATTGTATTTCTTGAAGAATTTCAGATGTATTATATTTTCTTCTAAATCTCACGTTTTAGCAAAGCAGACAGGAAGAGAAGAAATCATAGGATTCAGTACTGTGAATAATAAAATTCTTATTGACTGCATTGACAGCAGTTACTCCCATGACTGCACAGTTACAGAGATACAGATGAATTTGAGTAACAAAATACTCTCAAAAAATATATTAGCTTGTTCTTCTTCTGAAATGTGAAACGAGTGCTTTGTTACCTGCAGGCTGAGGATCTCTTTCTCCCTAGACTAATGTACCACATGTAATAACATTATTTAATATTTCTTCTGGTCATAGATATCTCTTTCTCTAGTCACAGATATTTCTGTCACTAACCCAAGCAAATGCTCAACATCTAGGGCACATGGGCCATTTATTCCTAAATAGTTATATGATAAAGAATCTGTAAAAAAAAAAAAAAAACCACCACAGTCTCAGGAAAACTCTTCTTCATATAACATAACAGAGTGAGCTCTCCTTTGGATGGTTGAGCTAATTTGCCTCTTAAAACATTATATTTAGTAGAGAAGATGCATAAGCAAATTCCGACTGACGACACAAAATTTCCGAAACGCTCTTGGCGCTGTAATTCGGTAGTGCATAAACCAGGGGATAACAGATGAAGTGACACTGACTGACACTAGGTTATTAACTCTTGCATTGCTAAGAGGCCCCTCTGCCTGGTACCAAAAAGGAACTTTCTGCAAGATGGTTCCAAATGTGGACAGTGCCATGACTTGCCTTGAGCACGATTATCACCTGCATACTACAAGCTGCTTCAAACCTATTCCCTTAAATGTTAATCTCCAGAGCTTAGTTTCCAGAGCAGAAACTGAAAATCGTATTTTTTTTTTTAAACATGCCTCCAAGGTACAGTAATATTTCATGGTAATTCTCTAAGCTTTTTCTAATGTTTTCACATCACATTTTTATTAGTACTGAAAAATAGGTTTGCATGATGAAGCATTATGCCAATATTCTGAATTGAAATTAACACTGGAGAAATGGTCACAGGAGGAGGATGCCAGCTAGAGATTAATCCAGTATAATTTTAAAAAGTGTTTATCTGTTCCCCCCAAACTCTGCACAGGCTCCTGTGACATGAATTAATAAAGGAAAAAAAAAAAAAAAAAGAGCACATACCACTATTAAGTACTTTGTCTACTAAAGATGAAGTTTCAGCTCATTTGCGCTTACAAATTTAATAATTATGAAAACAGAAAGGTTGATTATTTCTTTCTTAAAAAATAATACAAGGGAGAGGGTTGTTTCTGTTTCCTTTTAGAATGAATTAAAATTTGACCATATTCATATTTTACTGTCCTCAGTTAGACAGATTCTTTGGACTTTGGAACTTGAAGTCAATCAAATAATTCCTGTGACTGACTGCCTACTAAAACGCCTAGGAAAGGTGTTAGCATCTGTGACACAGGGTGGTTTATTTTAAAAAAAATATACAAACAAAATATCGTTTTCGTATCTCAAACATCCTTGCTTTTATAATAAAATCCAATATATTTCCATTTATGTATTTAAAACTATCCCTGGAATTGATCCTTTGCTGACAGTACACATGAAAAAAATGAAACAACAAGAGAAAACAGCCATTAGAGAACTTTTTCAAAATCTTCTACGGTGATGTAGAAGGGAAGGAAACACATCCACAACTGGAAAGCAGAAGTGCACAAACAGAAGACATGGAGCGTGCTTCAAGGAACCAGGGAAATGAGATTATAGCTACAAAATCAGATTTAGGTTAACTGGGATTTTTTTCTTATTTTTCTCAAGGAAAAGGCCAGAATTCCCATCAGATGGAAGATTTACTGGAATAATAAGTACAAAAGGAACCAGAGGAAAAAAACATCCTCTCTAACACAGCAGATAGGCTTCGCCACTGATTGCTAGTGCAATTAGAGGTGCAAGCTGAAGTTCTGCAGGGAGAACTTCTGCAGCATTAAAGTGCATTTCTTTTACATAACACCTTAAAACATGCTGCATGCACAGCTATTTTGCAGTAAACCTATGCTAAGAAAATTGCTGTTTTTATACGGTAATTTCAACATCTTATCAAATACTCTGCCACCACCTTGTGGCAGTTTTCTGGATAGCCCTGCTGTCACAAAGACGAAGGAATATTTTAACCGGGAATTAGAACAACTCCCATTCATTTTGCTCAAAGTTTCGAGCTGCCTCCAGGACCTTAAGGCTTAGGATATGATGGTTTTCAGTTTTGCTGAATATTTGAGGTAAATTGGAAGTGGAAAAAATCACTGTACATATAGAAGAACTCAATCGCGTTGAGCCGTCTCTGAGCAGAGCTTCTCTTGTACACAAGCTGCTTGCCGTGTCCTAGTGCGAACCTGTGTGTCCCCCTCTTTGCTCCACCAACCACGAGCCTCAGTTGAACGAAGCTTCATAACTGGCACACGTTAGACGTGAACAAGCCAAATGGGAGCAAGGGTTTTAGGATCTGGGAGGTCTAGCCTTCCTTCAACACCCTCATGTTTCCAGCTGAACCCCGAGGGGAATGGTCATGGGAGTCTATTACA